TTCACACCGCTCTCGCTTGATTGATTGAAACATTACTGATTTCAATACCCTTCCAAAGGATAACTAACGCGTAGTAAAAACATGTAACGTAAATTTAAAAGTTATACAAAATTGTGTTTTATTAAAAGTATAAATTGTAAAATGTATCATTTAAAGTAATAATTTAAAAGGAAACTAAAGGAGTATAATATTATAATTCAAAATACTTCATATATAATAACTACAAGTACGAAAAAAATAAATGTTTGTTGTCAAGTTTTTAAATATTCTATAATAACGTTATTTTTAAAAATCTTTGGGAAGGGTATTCAATGATTTTTACTTAAAGAAATCAAGTTTGAAAACCTTCTTGACATGCTGTTAATATTTTTTGCTGCTGATGGAAGTTGGCATTTTGTAGCATGTTAACCCAGGATTTTTTTTAATAAATGCGCCCTTGTTAAGTTTTTTGTGAGTGGGGATGGGACTATCAGGTAACGCTCGTTAAATTGGATGCTATTAATACTCAAGGAGATCTCTTGGGAATATTTAACTTAATTCACCAATGATTAATTGTTTCACAAATTTTGTGGATAGCATGGTATTAAAATGGCTAATTATTTTTAGTTGTTAAAAATATACGAACATTTCAATTTTACTGCACGTGAATTTAAATAACCTTTTAAAGTATTTGCTATTTATTTACTGTCAATTAAAAGAAAGTCCATTAAATGATTGTAGTTTCAATTATAATAATGTACCTTAATACAAGAGAGGTAAAGTAGGCAATATCGCACTTTATTGCTGATATATACCCATATTTTAAAAGTTTTCTTACCTAGCTTATACTCAAAAAAATATTTTTGTTGTGTCAAAATCTAAATTAAATACAACATTTTATTGAATTTCTACTATAAAATATAAGTTATTGTGTTCAATCTTTTTAATTTATTTATATGGTTGGCCTACCTTGACTAAAAACAGTTAATTAAAGACTAATTTTAGATGTCGATCCGCACTCAATAAATTTTCATTGGCGGCGACTAATATCCATAGGTCGCGTCAAAAAGCATTTAGCAGGGGAGATGGCTAACAAGCAAATGGCAAACGTTAATTTTAGCCATGGTCAGGCGTCAGCTCTTTTCGAATTTAGTTTGGGAAAATGCAGTTGTTTGCATTTATGGCGGCCTGCTGAAATGAACATGCAAATGACCGTTTTATTACGGACATTTTATTATTGTCCCAAAATGTTCCATTAAATACATCAGGTCGGAATCGCTATTCGGATATGCGTAAGTCCCGCTGCGGCTTTGTGCCCAGCCATTTAAATGCCAAACAAAATATATATTTTGCGAACATGACAGCGGCAACAAAAAATCAATTTGCAAATGTTTTTAGAGTGCAACCGAAAAGGAAGCGGGGAGAAACTTTGACATTCCGCACAACTTTGGCAGCTGCCGCTGTTGCTGTGGCGATTGCTGTTGCATATTTTCCAATATTGCTGGAAAATGAAACGAAACGCGACGCACGGAAAAGCTGCCAAGTGACCCCATTGGCAGCTGCAATGTCCGTTTTGTAATTAGCGCTCGATTCGACGACTCCAAGGGGAGTTTCCTGACCTCAATTGCTTTGTCACCATTTCAATTTGCAATTTCAGCCATTAACTAGTTACACTCGATGCAATTAAACTTGCACTCTTCCAGGTACCTCTGCATAGCCAGAAGAAAAGCGGCAAACTTGCCACGCCCCCAGCGGAAAAAGGACATTTCCCCGGAATGATGACAGCGGTGGCCACCCACTCAAAATGTTGTTGCATAGTGAAAGTTCTGGTACATATAGTAAACACCCAGGGAATCGAGCAGATACAGATACAAAACCCTTCACCGTCCAGCTGCATGTGCGTTCCATTGGAATAATTTGAAATTGGAAAAAAGAGATTCTCCTTTTTTCGCCATCTTCTCGTTGAGTTAATTGCAAATTGGATGAAATTGTAATTTTACACTTCATTTGATTCAATTCATGGCTGATTGACAATTTAGTTTTTCATTAAGGTAACTGTATAAGAATTCAGGTAAACACTGTCGCAAAGAATGTGTGATTTTGTAATGATAAAATTTCTAAAGCAAACATGCACCTTTATATAAATGTGATTTAGTTTGAATTTTAACAGTGGCTTTTTTGGAATTTATAAATTAAGAGTAAAATGATTTCCTTTTTATTTTTAACTTTATTTCAAAGAAACAATTAGTATTTTTAAATAATGTCTAAATAATGTTTATTGTTAAATATAATTAAGAATATTTCATTTTAGGAGTTAAATTAGTAGATCATTTAATGAATTACACATTAAAATATACAAGCTTTTTTATAAAAGTTTTGGTTGTATAAATCTATAATCTTTCGTACTGTATATTCGCTCAGTGCATGGTACCGCAGTCAGTGCGAAGCTTTTCCAGGATGAACCAAGAAATTGCGGCCAAATATGGCGACTCCTTGATTGCAGGCATCTTGCAGAATTTAAGGAGGAAAAGTGTGTCAATGTGATGGAGTCCTAAGGAAGCCTAAGTGCCCCACAAATTTTAGGACTTTGCCTTCGATTGGTAAAGAATTTATAAGGTAGTTTCCCTTTCGAACAAGCTGCCAAAGGAAAAGAAAATATTTACCTATTTATTTTTGAAATATGTCTTAAATTTCTCTCATATTTTAGGTGAAAGACAAAGTGACCTAAGACAAATAAAATTGCTTTGAATTCACAACTTTAAATTGTATAAAACTTCCTGATTACAATATCAGATATCAGTTGTGCATGTATACTATATTAATAAGTTTTAATATCATTTTGATTTATTTTTAAAATCTACTATTGCAAGTTTATGGCTGATATTTGCAAGCAAAAACGTAAACGTATAAAGTGTGCAATTCAGGATAATTCTAGCTTGCACCTTGTATATTTGAGTATACCTTATTAATTATTGAGACACATTGGAGTCAGCCATCACGACAAGTTTTGAGATTTTGAGGCGTTTGGTTCGCATGTGTACATGCCGAGCATTACGCATACGCAATGTGGTAACACGTTATAAACAAAAGTCATAAAGCAAACTTAAAGTTATGAATTTTTAAAATTTCTGATTTATTTGCAGGAAAAACTTTTTTATACCACCCCCGTGCAGACGTATCCCCACGTGTGTGTTGGTGCAGCGTGAAAGAAGTTGCCACTTTTTTTTTGCCGCATCTCCTGAATTTTTTGGCAAGTTTTTGTGCATACCTTTTTTGTTTTTTTTTTTTTTTTTTTTGCTGCCTGGCATAAAGTTTGAGTTGTCACGTGACTTGCGAGCGGAGACGAGCAAAATTCGCATAAAATAAATAGCTGGCAGATAGAGGCAGGTGGCTGCGAGGAAACCGGATCCGGAAACGCCATTTACAGCAAAAGAAAGTGTGGCATATGCTCAGGCGCACGTTGCTTTTGTTTTAATATTCATATTCGGGCATCAGAAATTATTCGTTAGAATTAAGCTGCCGGGGCAAGAGGGGATGGGACAGCCAGCTAGGAAGTGAGCTTAAAAGGGACAGCGAGCAAAATGCTTTGAATTTAAAATCTGCAATTTTCTGTTGATTGCCGCACCCAGCAGACTGCAGTTGTATAGTAACATACAGCAGTAGAGCAGCAGAGCAGCAACAATAGCAACAACCTCAAAGTGTTGGCGGTTGGTGAAAGAAAAAGGAGCAGCAGAAGCAGCAGGAGCAGAAGCAAAAGCAGCAGCAGCGGCAACATCATCACAACTTTTGCGTAAAATTCCAGTCATGTGTCCCTAACAAATCCCTGCATTATTCATGAAATGATAAGATGACTTTGTGCTGCCGTCGTCGTCATTCGCTCCAGAATCCCACCCACACCCACACCCAAACACACACCACCACCACGCCCACCCAACCATGTACCGCCCCCTCGCCAGAAAAACAACCACCCCATGCACGTAATATTTTTACATGCAGCTGCAACACGGACCTTTCCTCCGGTCGCCTCCGTTTGTTGTCTGCATTTAACTACCAAGGATATCCGTTAACTATAAAATTCACACGCCACCAGCAAAAAACAAAACGAAAAGGTGTTTTTGATTTTAAAGAAAACTTTTTAAAGTGCCCGCATTATTGGCAGACCCGTATGAATATGTTAATGACTGGCTAAAATAAACTGCATCCCCTTGGGCATTTTATACAAAACAAGTGCAAGCACAATGCTTAAATATTCCTGTAAAATTCTAAGGGCCACAAAAATATGTTGTGTTAAAATATAACTTTAAAAGGGAACATTTTAATATACATTAGGAATGCTACAAAAAAAAATATTTTTTAGGTTGACTTTAATCTGCATTCTTTATACATGTGGTCAAAAAAAAAAGAATAACTTCGATTTCTTGGTCCAATAAATGCTTTCGACGACCAACAAATTGTATTTTAAATTTTCCGTTAAAATTACTCATACGAAAAATACGCAAATTGCAGCAAAGCGCTTAGTGTTATTCCAAAATTTCTAAAACTTAATTATTTACTAAATTTATTTTATAAATATTACTTATATATATTAAACAAGATTGCTGTGGTTCCTAACATTCTTTCTACAAAATAAAATAACAGAAGTAACTGAGTATTAAATTCGTAACAGCCTCCATGATATTATTGCTGAAAATAACATTCCTGCTGTTAAGGATAACATGAGAACGGCTATAAGTCAACAGACTGGGCGACAAAGCTACAAAATCGCATCGACTCTCTTCGAACTGCTCTTTGGACTCGATTCTCGAGGACCCATGGGTCCTGTTACAGGCTCAGCTGTCGTGTAACCGAGCATCCCCGGCAGCCGAGCTCCTTTCAGATGCTGAGCGCACGGCATTACACGACAGCCGGTCACGAAGTCCTTTAGCGGCGGCGGCGCCGACTGCGCAGCCGACTGCGATGGCATCCGTGGAGTTGAACTCACGAATCCGAGTCCACAGCTTCAGTCAGCTCGTAAGCCTGAAGCCGCGCGGAGATACTTTCCACAGGGATCCCCAGTCGCCAAACGATTCGTGTTCAATAAAAAAAAAACCATAAAACAGACAAAAAGATTATTAACTTAGATAAGATAAAGTACATACTAAGTATCAGTTACTGTGCCAAGCCAACATATAAACTTCAAAAACTCAATAAAGCCAAACATCAACATCCCTGACAAAAGGTCAATTAACCAAAGCGTGCAGTCAATAAAAATCCAGTTAACCAAACGAATAAAAACGGCAAAAGTGAAAAGAATGAGGAAAAAGTTCTGAAAGTACATTGGAACCTATGCAAAAAAATAAACCAAAAACAAAAAAGAAACAAGTTTAAATTGCATTGGACTGGCAACTTCCGCTTCCGTTGAGTGCTTCAATTTCAGTTTAATGTTAACTCCGACACAACCCAAATTGACAAGACAACCGAGCCAAAAATAAAGTGAACGTAAACCAAGAAACAACAAAAAAAAGGTACGGGGACACAAGGGCCCAAGCAAAAGGGGGCGTGGTCGTGGCAGGTGGATGGCTTATTCAAATATTAAACGCATGTATTCGTTTGAATTTGGCATTTAAATTATTTAAGTTGACAAACGTACATACAGAAGAAGTACAACAAAACAGGATGCCAGGGCGTCTGCCACGCCCACACATCCTTATTTCCTCTGTTTTTTCCTGCTTTCCCTTTCATGCGAGTTCGTACGCAAAAAAATACAGTGCTCAACCGATATTTGTCTTTTCTTAAATTTGTGAATGATTCTGAATATCTGATACTTCTTATGTTAAATTCTTCATATTACTAAAATGTTAAACAAAAATTTAGTTAATCAAAATTTGATGATTTTTATTTAAAACAGATTTCGTTCCATTTTTTCATGAGAATTTTATATTTTGGCCATACAAAAATGTTATTTAGTATTTGTATTAAGCATTATATTTTTAATTGAAAAATAGTGCAGAGCGTGATATTTATTTTCTCCGTGTAGTTTCTGTTCCCAGCTCCTTGGAGTTTTTCTTTTCTCTGGGCTGCTCTAATGTTTGTTATTTATTTATAACGACACTGACAGAGCGTATCCTTTGAACTTTTCTGCATGAGTTTGTCGCCGAGTTTATTTATTTATATTCTCTTGTGCCGTTTCTCCATCTCGATGTAGACTTCGTGCTCTTCTTTTCCACATCTCCCTTTGACACAGTATTCAATTAATTGAACTACCCGTTTGACCTCCACTCGGTTTTTCGATTCTAGTTTTTGTAGCATCCTCTTGACTGCACTCGAAACAAAGGGATTCCCGGAGATGCGGAGGGGATAAACTGCATAAATCAACGCCACTGCCAAACCCAAGAGCAACAATAACTGGAAGCAATTAATTTTATTCAAACAAGAGCAACAATAAGGACGACGACAAAAAATGGATTACGGCTGGCTGATGTTTCTGTTCATCGCACTTTTAATTGGTAAGTTTTTGCGACCCTCCGCCGGAATGGAGGAAATTATTATTATTTTTTATGGTTTTCGGGATTGAGTTTTTGTTTTGTGTACCGCTCAGGATAATATTTGTTTGGCTAATGAAGCGCTGGCGGGGATTTGTAGGCAACGGTGCGTATGCGTAATGGGAGCCGGACAAATCGCCCTTGTCGTTTATTGTGAATCGGCTTATTATTATTTTAAATGTTATTGGTACTTGCCGAGGACACCAACCGCAAATCAATATTGGGAAAGTTTTTGCCTCTGGCTGTTTTAATGACTTTTGCCATAATTTCAACTGCTGCCGCAGTTTCAGTGGCAGTTGCACTTGCCCCCATCCCTTTTGGCATTCGGTAATTTCTGCTGCCACAACTTTTACTGAAGCAGCAGTGGCAGCATCAGCACATCTTGAGTGCAGTTTAAACTTAAATTGTATTTTTGAAATGCTCGCAATTAGGCAGACTGCCAAAGGCAGCCGCTCCGCGCTTTCTCCCGCCTTTCTCCGACTTTTCATTCCATCCCACACTCGAATTGCCAATGGCAATGGGGCAATTAATTTGGAGCGCATTAAATGAGCTGGCTCACTTCGCCTTTCACTCTGCTCGACGAGAACTAGAAATTGTATTCCATCATGTGTGCAAGAGCGCTAAAAAAGTTGAGGGAACAGCAGTTGCTAAATTGGAAATAGGTAACTGCCAGAGCAGGTTTTCTCTGTTGCCTTGTTAATTGAAAATAGGTTTTCTCTGTTGCCTTGTTAATTTTAAATATCGCAATTGGTTTAAACTTTGTTGTATCTTGTTAAAAGCAAATTTATGCTTGAAATAGTGCACTATCGGACGGGAGGAATACCTTAATTACAAAGACCCAAAGTTTTGGGAGGAAATCTATACTGATTAATATATTTGCTTAACAAATTGCTGTGTAATAGAGAATAAATAAATAAAACATTCAATGCGCCCTTTTGAAAATCTTTCTGTCCGTAAAATGTAAATAAAAATGCTGTTATACATTCACTATAAAATATATTGCACCATTAATTTGTAAAAAGGGTTGACATACTATGATTTTATTAACTGGTAAATTATTTATTGATTTATTTATATAAAGCTAGCCCTGATAGAGTATGGGAATGGATTACGTTCCTCTCCTTTTAACTGGGGCTGACACATTCTCCAGACACACCTCTTAGCACTTTCATTCAAGGAATACATGATGCAATTCAGGACACTTGCACAAAGGATTTGGCCACAAAGACTGCCAGAGAAAGGAGTTTCAGGGAAAGTTCTGCTACGGAGTTGTAGCTTTCCAATTTGTGTGAACGATTCTATATTTAGAGTGCTTACCGGCAACAACAATTTGGCCAACCTAATGGAATTAAATATTGTCCATTGTGGGATGTCCAATTTACGATGTCGCCTTGGGTAACCACAAAGAAACTATAACAAATAACAAATGGCTGGATCCTGTTTATTTACTTTTAAAATCAGTTGGACTCTTCTGCCATACGACACCCAATTAATTTGCGGATTTAGATGCAACTAAAAATAGGAAAAACACTTTGTTTGCTGCTCTCTTTTATATACTTTTTCTCCACTTTGTGGGTTTAAGTGGACGAGCTGATAAAATGAATATTTATGCTACTACTAAACAATAGAGATTTCTGTATACAGTTGTGTTCAAGAAAACATTATTAAGCTTATAAAACGTTTATAGCCTTTGAAATTTTGACAAGTCTGTTGAGAGAGTCAATTATAATGTTCAAAAATAAAAAGATAAACCATGGACAGTTCTATATGTTTAGAATTAAAGACAACGTATGGTATTTGGCGTATTTTAGTTAGAATTTCTTTATACACATTTAAAGAAAAATGTTATCTTATGCTATCTAAGCTTTGTAATAATATGTTTTTAAAACATGAAATCACAAATAACCAACGTTAAAAATTAAAGTATGTCAGCATACTTTTAACTAACTCTTAAAAATCAACAGTTTTGAATTGACGTCCAAAAGTATTATTCATTTTACCTTCCTCGATTATTTTAAGCAAAGATGTATATTAAAACATGTGTCTTGTTAGGAAGAAGCACGCCTCCATTGAACTACAGAGAGATCTAAAAAAAGACATGCCACAGCAAAAATGTTTGCAAAAATGTTTGCAAAAATGTCTCGTCTCGGCATCTCTAAATAAATTTATCACCAAACTTGGATGGCATGGGTGAATTTTCTCCTACGTGGGTGGGGATTTCAGTGGGATAGCTTTGGGTATTTACATATACGTAAATGTGTGCTTGCCATTTCTCGAATGAAATGTGCAGGTTAATTATCAGCAAAGTTTTCATGTGCTGAGGTGTAAATATATCTGTATCTGTATTTGCATCTGTGTCCCCAGTCCAATCCCCTTCATTCCCATTTTGTGTGGTTAAGTGGGGAAGAAGCTTTACCCACACAATGGCATTTAGATTGTTTTGCCTGCGGATGGCTTAAAGTTTTCACTGCCTTCCGTTGATTTAAATGCGTAATGAATTCCAGCAATTTGCCGCATTTTATCACAACTATCTCCAATCAATTTAAATAAAATATTTATTTATGTAATTGTCCGAGGTTTGTTGCCTTTATGTTAATGTGCATATGTACAAAATGCTTAAAAGCTTTAGTGGTTAGTTCACAAGGTATATTTTTTTAAAAGTAAATAAAACATTTATAAGAGGGAATTTCTCTGTATCAAAGATAAATGTGTTCACATTTGTACATACACATTAGCCTTTAATGCAAGCAAGTAAAACCATGTCATCATTTACAAATTTTACCAAATATAACCTATAGGTTTTTTGTAACATAAATGTTTTATAGAAACTATATGGTTTTTCTGCAATTCTTACACGACTTGAAAAGTTCGTTACACTGATCCTTAAGTCTTGAATGCTTAACATATCCGGTTGGCAAATTCTTTTCAGTTTTCAATCCTTATATGCATCCTTCAGCTCATGTTAAATGTATTTTTGTCCTGACAAAAGTCGAGTCATTTGACATTTGGTTTGTTCGCATTTCTTATCAGTTTCTGGACCAGCCACCCTCGGGTTGTTTACTCGGCTGGTGGAAGGCTTTATCTGAATTGGAAGCCAGAAACTACATACTAAGGGAAGCTACAATATGCCAGTTACATATGGCCCCGTGTCCATTGCATTTTGTTTCTTGCCCACCTTGTGTCGGTCCACCTACCTGACTAACTAACTGTTTTGCATATTCATTTCATGAAATTTCAAATTTATTCGATGTCTCATGTGCCAGAACTTGGCCACAAAGCACCTGCCATTTCCCCCTGTTTTCCCATTTTCCATTTTCCCAGGTCAGTCACCTGGGCAAATTAAAAATTACGCATACTACACCCACCGCTGAACATGTCTCTGGCTTTTGGTCACCAAAATTGTGTCATTGGCCTGTGGGTTTTTGTATCCTATGGTCCGAGGATGGCAGATTTCCATGTACTCATCCTACACAAAAAGTATGAGGCCACGCCCTACTATTCGATTACAGGAAATCGCCAGGGTTCTCTACTATCTAACAATGTTTTAGTGTATGTAGCTTTAGGCATTTTCATTTTAAATTTCATAAACCCGTATTTGTAAAGTTATAAAACGAAATTCAAATTGATTTAGAACTAAGCTTATTTTTTTGTGTATTGTAATGTATACATAAAATTTTAAAAAAATTTGTAAACTATAGTTTGTCGATAAACAAGTTATGTGATATTGACTATAACGTATTGTGTTTATGCCTTTTAGACTACCCAATAGCTTTCGCCTTGTTCGTGACCAATATCAGTGTGCCCGAGATTGTGGACTTCCGGAACAATGTGACCTTATCTTGCAGCTACGATATGCGAGGTCACACGCTTAACTCGGTCAAGTGGTACAAGGATCACGAGGAGTTCTTCAGGTAACCCATAATAGGTTTTATTCAAAAGCAAGATTTTAATCTATATCCTGCAAGTAGATATTCTCCCCTGTCGAGTCCAATTTACATGACATTCGGGGTTCCCGGACTGCAAGTGATCGACGGACAATACGTGTGCAACGAATCAAGCTGCAGGGTGGACTTGAGTTTACAAGGAGCCAAATCGACGGGACTTTACAAGTGCGAAGTTAGCGGAGATGCGCCTCATTTTAAACTGGCGGACAAAGCGGACAATATGACGGTGGCAGGTGGGCATTATATTGGAAAATGCAGTTTTATTTCAATATTTAATTTTCCCTTTGAACCAATCGTAGCTTTGCCCCAGATCGACCCTCTAATCGAGAGCTTCAATTCGATGTACCGCATGGAGGAGTTCCTCAGCGCCACCTGCTCCTCGGATTACTCCAGTCTTCCCACACGGCTCACCTGGTACATAAATGGCGAACAGGTTGGTTTCTTTACCCATATTATATAGAGCTTATCATATGTACAAATTAAAAACTTAATTGTCCAAAAACAAACACAAAAAGTTATTAAACACTATTTTGGATTAACAATTATGGTTAACGAATTTTAGAGGCATGAACAACTCTTCAACAAGAATAAGAAATGTCTATTACAAGTTCATATCAAAATATTTTCCGTTTTTCTAATTTTAGTGATTTAATAATTAACATAACATAACATAATTTTTATTTTAGACGTACTAATTTTTCCATTTCCTCCCTTTTTTTAGCCCCTTCTGGGTGAACTGCATCCCACCACCGACACGAGCATTGCGGCCCACGATTATGTTCTGCGCCGCCAAAGGCTTCAGGTGCACTTCTATTTGCAAGGACAACGCTTTTTCCAGGCCGGGAAAATCCTGGAGCTCAAGTGCGTAGCGGAAATTGAGAATTATCCGGAGCTGAGGCGCGAAAAGACGCTCAGTGCGTCGCTGTCGCAGTTCGACAATTTCAACAATCAGATGCCACTGAGACATGCGAATGCAAGTGAGTAACCCACCCTTCACACATCTCTAGCTTAGTTCTTGTAGCTTAAACAAATCCCTATTAAAAATATGTAATAAATTATTCTAGCTAATATTTAAAATTAAAATTCCGAGTCAAAAGTTTTCTTTCTATCTAATCGAATGTTGGATTTAAATTCATTTTGATTAGATTTCCTTTCCATCCAATTAACTTATAACCGTGACTTTTCCTTTGGTTTATTTGCCTATGTCTTCTCCTTTTTTCCCGAATCAAAGACTCTGGGGCGACACAAAGGAGCAGCCTTAGTGGCAGGACATCGCTAATTTCCGCAATCCTGGCAGCAGTTCTACTAATTCACTGTTTGCGGCGCCCTTCATGAACACTGACATCTTTCGGGGAATCGGAATCGCAGGAACAATTTAAGTCCTTGCGTTCGGAATGGAAAACGCCACGTATGGCTACTTTGTCAACTATATCATCACGTTAGTTAGTCAGTCAGTTAGTCACCTAGTTAGTTAGTTAGGATAACAGACAAAGGTAAGACCGCGAACTAGTGAATAGGGAAAGCTTTTTGGGTTGATATATGTAAATACAAATTAAGGAGTAAGGACAAAAGTGTTGAAGGTTATAAATGCTCAAGGAACAAGAAAAAAACATGCTGTTATTTTAAATATATTAAGTATGTTTTTCTACTTTATTTCTGATAAATAAAGTTGAAATGAACAAAGTTCAAAAGTAAATATTAAAAATGAAGTTGTTTTATAAAATGGTTTTGAGAATAATATTTGTAACTCTGCGTTTTAAATAATTTTATTGTGGGATTACATAAATTAAATCAGATATTAATTCTTAAAAACAAAAATTCAAAAAACGTTTGTATATTTTCTTAGAGACATAATCATTTCTGCTTGGCAAAATTCAATATGTTAACACAATGATTGGTGTGAAAAACACGTATTTCTTTTCAGTAAAAGCCATGTTATCCTTGTAAATGAATATTTTCATGTCGGTTAGTTTGACAAGCATAACGAATGAAATAAAACTGAAAATTAAAACGATGAAAAACTGCCAGAAAAAAATTAATTTACCTGCCTGACACTGATACTAGCCAAAATAAGTCACTCTCCAGCAAACCAAACGAATTTCCAATATATGTATATAAGCGTAATTTTTTCGATTGTTGTTCGGCAATTGATTTTCATTCGAAGTGCACATGAAACCTTTTTCGAGCAAATATATCCACGCACTCCCCACGCCAAGGGTATTGGGTAAAATACAAAAAATAAAACACATATGAAACACCATAAAAAATAAGTGAACACATCAAAAGTGAAAAAATAAAATGAAATGCGATTTTATCAGTGGAAAAGCAGAATGCAGATGCTGTAAAAATCATTATAATTAAGTCTAGCATAAATATGTTGTAAATACAATTTTAAACATCCAAAACAGAGAACAAACAACTATAAATCATGTCACTAAGCCAGACCCAAATACGTATGTATATAAAGCTATTCGCAATATATCGCAGCATGTATTTACTAAGGCCGAGATAAAAACGAACAGCAAAATTACATAGCTAGTGAAACTAAACAAAAACGCAATAAACATTTCATTTAGCTGAGCAACTACAAATAGACAGTAATCATAATACACTTGGTCAAAGCCCCCTTAAAAAGATCTGGCGACAGAAGGGCAACTAAAAAATACATAAAACATATTTACCACGGTGTAATAATGAAAAAAGGCCTGGACGTTTCTGAAATCACATTTTGTTATTCAGTATATCCAATTAAAATAAAACTCAGAGTGTATGATGGAAAAACATACAAAATATATAGTATAAATGTATAAATTAATTTACCTACTCATTCGCACTTCTTTCGGTTGTAAAGAATAAAAAAACACACACGATAAAATAAAAATAAACGAGAGCAAATAACGATAATGTACATAAATGCATTTACTTTAGTTTTTTTATTTTGGCGAATGGCCATTAAATTGTGTAAAATATTTCAAAAGGCGAACTGCAATGCATATGTTTTTTGTTTTCTTGCTGTTCATGAAAAATTCAAATAAATAAGATAAATAAATAATTCAATTTATGGATTTCAATGCGTTTATTCAGAGTTCGAATTGCTAATCGGTATTATAACAGACAGGTTGGCGCACCAGTTCACTATGACAGTTTTAATTGAAAGCTAGGGCTTGGGAAATAAATAGGTTTGGTCGTTAAATAATATTTACAGTGTGTGCAGTTTACCGTCGAGCGTATAAGTGAGTTATTTGCATGGTATTAAAGTTACCCTCAGAAGTACCATTCTTAAATTTATTTTCGTATTCTGAAACATACACTTGGCTCTTAATATTTTATATACATACATGAAAACCCTTTCTAAACTGCATCTTCATTAAAGCATTAATTAGTTAACATATTTTTTAGCAATTAACCTTCTTAAAAGCTTTAAGAACGGTTAGGGGTCAACCGAGAAATTTCAAAGAAATTATTACTAATTCCCTGACAATTTCGACCTCTTGACAGTGACGAAATGTACTCGTTTAATTTGAAATAATAACTTGTTTAACTACGCAAATTTGCACAATTAATTATGCTAATGAGACGCGGCCCAAAAGGGCAACTGGTGCGGCTCCTGAGAGCCGAAAGTCGAAAGCCGAGCAAGGGCTTAAACAATAAAATAAATAAATTAAATAATTAATTTCAATGCTGCTGCAATTAGTTGCCACTAAATGTTGCATGAGTTCTGTCCGAAAGATAGGTCGTGGGACACACATACACACCGGACAAAATGGAGGATACCAAGACGAAAAGCCGAGAAAGAGGGAAATGCGAAATGAAAGAGAGAGGAAGGACAAAGGACAAGGGCCAGGACCTCTTAATGAGCCTGGGCCTGGGAGCTAATCAAATTAGCCGTACCATGGACTTTTGATCAAAAATGCCAAAACTTTTCACATTTTCGCTCCATTTCGCGCCAGCAGCGGCCACATGGCGTATGCGTAATTTATGTGATTTTAATTAGCCAGCCGAACAAACGGACAGTCTGAAGCAAAAACATGCATGACTTATGACGCATAGCTGTCATATTCACGATTCGGAAAGTACACATAATTGAAATTAATTTTGAATTATTCTCGGCTCGACGATTTTTGTGATTGTCGGCATGGAATTTCAAACATTTTCAATTAACAAACGGAATGAAAGTGGCCCAGACAGTCGCTTATCAAGTGGAAGTTCTTGAGTTGCGTCTAAGTTACCGAAAATAAAGTGAAGTGAATTTTTCGCGCTTTGGCATTTGTCAAAGTTTTCCTCCCCAGTCCCTTGAGTGTCCTTTTTTTTCCCAGTTCTTTACTGCATTCGTCTCCTGTTTGCGTTTCATTAAAATCCATTAAAATGCTGCAAATCAAATTAAAAGTTTCAACTTCAGTCTGGCAGTTGGCATCGTTGTCAGACCATCATCATCAGCCGTTTACGGATCTTCCTCTTCATTTGCATGCGCAACATTTTCCACAGACAATTGCAAATCCTTCGGTTCTTTGGTCCTTTGGATTCTGTGCAGAAATTACTTTTTAATTTCTTCGCTAATTCGTTGAATTTGTCTGTCAACCGATGGGCAGGCAGTCCAGGCCGTCCTCCATTGTTTATTAATTACATGTGGCCGGCAGCGGGTGCGGGGGCGGGGGCGGGGCGTAAGCCATCAATAAACAAATATCGAAACGAATCTGTTATGACCCGTTGACCTATTGAGCGCTACGTGACCCACAATGGCTCATTTGTATTTTGTATGTGGCCCGAATGGCAACCTCATCGTCCGCCTGCCACGCATACCAAGCAGTTGTTGATGTTGACACAAACGCTGTCAGCTCCGAGTTGCTTATTCCCAAATTGATATGCAAACAGCACAGCCCGGGCTGGCTGAAAAGCCGAAAAGGCTGACGGGGGCCCAGAACGCGGTGAAAGGTCGGAGGTCGACCTGCTCGCCACCTAAATGCTCTTGTCGGCGCAGAGATTTCAATTTTGATTCAGGTCGGCCCTCGCGTTGTATTGGATAATCAAAACTGGTAAATATTAAAAGCGAAACGGGAGACAGTTCGCGGAATAGCAAATGTCAGGAAACGAGCTTTACAATTGTTTAATACAGGTGGGATTATAATGGTAAATGTAATGTTAGGTAAGTAGTTAATGAACTCCATTATATTATTAACAAATTGAGCCCTGCATAGATACTTTGCAATCTATTAATAAATATTTCATTATTTTAATTAATTTCTTTGGGTTTATAAAATTTGTAATCTTGATTTTCGTTATTTTTTAATATTTTTTTTTTTGATAAAAATACTTATTAAGATTTAATTTTTTGTACATCCCAAAATCGAATTTCAGCCGAAGTGCCTTATAAGATCGAAAGCAACCTGGCTTATCAGGCAAACAAAAACGAAATCAAGACCGACATGGCATGAAATTCAAGGACGGCTTACTCCACCCTCAGAAATCAGGCAACAGAAAACGGCTTGTAAAACGCACTGTAAGACAACAATTGAAAAGAATTACCTCCTAAACCGAGTACAAAACACACACGCACTGCCATTTGAAAGAGCTCAGACCGACAGACAGACAAATGTATGCAAAATGCTTTTTGGCAAAGAGGCCGACACACGACCACTTAAGGCTCTAACCTCCAGTGTTTGGGGGCTGAGTTCGGGGAAGTGTGGAATTTGGGGGCAGGAACGCCATCGGCAAAACGTAAACTCTTCAATAATTGAACGTGTAGTCATGAGGAAGCGATAAAATCGAATTGCTTCCTTAATGTGTGAAATTGATACAGGAAACAATTTTCCACATTGTTATGGCTCGCACATGGTGCAAACGAAAAGGCAAAGGCTTTGGCATTGCCACTCTGGCATCTTCATCGGTGACATAGGCCAGCCATCAGTTGGAGCTCCTCAGCCGAGATTACACCGAATCTACACTCGGAAAAAAATCAAGTGCTTACCCTTTAATCGAACAACAATTTGGAAGGATCAGCTCATAAATAATATTTGCATATTTCTGTGGGATTTCACTCATGCCAATATTTAAATAAAGAGCTATCAGGATCTTGTAATTTTTAATGTTTTTTAATATTATTAAATCTTGTAGTTCATATTAAAATAAATTGTAGACATTTTTCACATTTTTTACATTTAAAACGTTTTAAATTTTAGTTACTATGGATATATTTAAAAACTAAATGTGATGAGGGCCTTTATAAGGTCTGAATTATATAATTCTATTCATTGAATATCAATTTATATGATTTGAACTCAGTTCTGCATTTCGTCAAGTGCACTGGTCGATTTCAAGTGATTCTGCCCAGACACAAGCCAAGGGCTCAACTCACTCGCAGCCGGGCTAAATATTATATTTCAAGGCCCTCGTCTATTGTACATCACCCTGCGATGGTGGCTCATATCCCCATTTTCCCCGCCACTTGCGGTCCACGGTCCATCAGTGCTTGCAAATATGCTTTTGAATTGGTTTACGGCCATTGAAGCGCGTACATTAGAGGTCCCATGACCCGGGATCTGCGAGCCGGGATCCGTTTCATATACCTCCCCGATTGCATGACCGCTCCTTGTTGCTTCGCCGTTCTCGGCGAGCTTTTGCTAATGGCGTGAAGTAATAAATTTTATTTTCAGCCTATCTCAAAATGCTTGCCTTGACCCTTATAGTTTTTCTAATTATTTAACAAAGTTGATTGTTTTCGAATTTAAAAAAAAAAATCACTTATTTTAATGTTAGAACTGCGGTAAAATCTATGTCTATTTATGAAACCTATTATACCAGCTGACTGCCGCCTTATTGATGTTGAGATTTCGCTTTTATTTACGTTACATTACATTTTTCCCAGTGTGAACAAAGTACGCGAGTTTCAATTGCGGTGGATGGCGATTTTGAGGATGGAATCTCACTGCCTCTTGTGATGCGGCAACAACCGATGGAAATGATGACTCAAATACAATGGCTGATCAAACATTCCGATTGGTTGGATGCCGGGAAACAGTGGGCCGTGCACCGTGGACATGAACCCTGGACATCCTGTCCCGAAACCGAAAGGTTCAGTACAGGACCTCCTACCTCTAATACGCGTCAATTTCAAGCGGTGTGCCAGTCGAGAATATTAACAGCGCGTACAGCAGTAACAACAACCTGGCTAAAAACATTGTTAACTCGCAGAGAGCCGTGTGCCGTTTACATAGCTCGCTGCACTGCGGAAGGTCCTGTGTTCTGAGTCCTGAATCCCGTGTCCTGGGTCCTGGGAATTCCCACGGAGCAATATAAGAACGCAGGACGAGGGCCGAAGGATGGCAAGACGACGCGACGTTGCGCGACAATTTTCCGCTTGAATTACGCTCCCGGTTCATGCTTCGTTTGTACAACCCGTGCGGGGAAGGGAAATGGCGTTGGGTGGCAGGTGGAAATCGCGAAAGGAGGGGCGGATGGCATGGAAAAAATAAATAAGCGGTAGCAAATTTCCATTTTTGCCAGGCCAAAGCGAAAGCCACTCTAGAAGGAGGTCCTCCTGGCTCACGCACCGTACGCTTAACTAAAAATCCACCTAAAGCCAGCGATAGAAAACCTGCTAAAAGGACAAATTGACAAAGTGTAGAAATATGACTTATAACTCACAGTTTATAATATTGGATATCAATCTTAGATTATATATATTTGAAATGTCCAATAAGTTTAAAATAATAAAAAATTCTACTTTAGTGTTTGTAAGTTCCGTAAATTAGAAAACTATTTCTTACTTTAATAAAGCTTTTCATCTTTCATCTCTTTATTCTTTGAAAAATGCTTAAAAATATCTGTAAATAAATGAAATGGGAATTTTTTCATCTAGTGTAGGGGAGCAGGTGCGACAGGAAACGCGACATTCGACGGTGGCTTCTTTGACTCCTGCTGCCTGGACCACGCCCCTTCGCCCGCAATATTCCCGCCCTTCTCCTTGCTC